GCCAGCTGGAGCTGCCCCAGGGAACTTTATTCCTACCCAAACAGTGGCATGGTGACAGCCAATCTTTGCCACTGCTCCCAGACCAATGTCTAATCCTAAATGGCTGATTTCTGGACATCCCACCTTCTGTGACTGTCTGCTGGTGCAGCCCTGCCAGCATCCACCCTGTCTAAATATTTCTAAGGTATCAGTGACGGCCATCTCAAAGCACCAAAACACCATGCGCTTTTCCAACTTCAGAATGACTTTACCTTCTGAATCATCAAAAAGACAGCAAAGGGTGTTTGGAATAGTTTTCCTGTTTAATGTTGAAACAGTGGTTGTCCTCCCATTTCTGTGAATCATGCATTGTTGGATATTTCTGAAACCTCTGAACAAACTTTCATAGCCACTGAGGTTCAGATGTATGGGGTGGAAGGAGGAGTGACTCATGCTCAGTGGGGAGGTATTCAATCTAGACAAGAGCAACTATGTCCTTGAAGTGAAGGCCTAGGTCAATGGTTATAGAGAGATTAAGGAAGAAATGCAGAAAACAAAGGAACCAAGCCTGGGGTGAGTTGAAATCCTGACCTATAGTCCCTAGCAGCAACCACATTTTTAGTACATAGCTTAATCTATAGCATCTTAGCATACACAGGACTTGTAGTATTATGAAAACAGATAAAATTGGGGATTAAAAGCAATAGGGTTTAATCACTGACACCTTTTAAAACCTGGAGTACAGCCGTAACAGCAAGGCACTGGTTTTCTTTAATTGGAAGATGGGGAGAATAATTGCTATTCTCCTACCCCATAAAAGTATTACAGGAAAGCATTGTGAATTACAGCTTATTTTCAGTGTGAGTGGGCACAGCACTGGCATCACTTCAGATGACATTTACTTGGTGTTGTGGGTATTCAGGTATTCACTCTCTTTGTATTGGTGGACTATCCCCCAAGAGCCTCTGACTTCCCAGGGCTGAGCAGTGGACAACTGACCTAATTGGGCCAATTGGGATTTCTCTCTTAAGGCTAATTATTTTTGTTGGGAAAATAACATTTAAGGTTGTTTTTTTTTTCTACCAAGGGAGCCCAAAAGATATTTTTCAACACTTTCCACAATATAAAGCCAGGAGCCCTACAGCATCTCTAACAATGCTGACAACAACTACTATTTTAGCCACTGTTATGGTCTTCTATTTCTTCCAAAAATGACTAAAGAAAAGACCTACAGAGTCAACTAACCTGGCCCCATAGGGATTCATAGACTGAACCACCAACCAAAGAGCATTTGGGGCAGGACCCTCCACATTTGCAGCAGATACACAGCTTCGTCTTCATGTAGGTCCCTTAATAACTAGAGTGGGGAGGGAGCTGTTTCTGACTCGTTTTGTTTGTTTTGTTTTGTTTTGTTTTGTTTTGTTTTGTTTTGTTTTGAGACAGGGTTTCTGTGTAGCCCTGGCTGTCCTGGAACTCACTCTGTAGACCAGGCCAGTCTCAAACTCAGAAATCCACCTGTCTCTGCCTCCCAAGTGCTGGGATTAAAGGCATGCACCAACACTGCCCAGCCCTGTTTCTGACTCTTGCTTGCCATTGGATCCCCTTCCCCTAGCTGACTGCCTGGCAGGGTCTCAGTGGGAGAGGATGCCCTTAGTCCTGCTGAGACTTGATGTACCTTTGGTAGTACTCAAGGGAGGCTTCCCCTTCTCTGAGGAGAAGGGGAGGGGGTAGCAGGAGGAGGGGCTTGTGAGGGTGGGACTGGGAGGAGAGGTGGAGGCTGCGATCAATCTAGATGTAATGTGAATGAATAATGAAGGAATGAAAAAAACCCGACTAAAGAAGTGTTCTATGTCACTACTAGATCAGGATCCTAAGAAGCTAGAGTTGGCCATCCATATGTTTGTCCATTCCCACCCCATCTCCACCCGCCTGTAGCTGGGAGCAGAAGTCTAACAGTAGAGCCAAACCATAGAGAAGCCTAGAACCCCATGCCGCCACTTGGAGGGGAGCTACTTGTCTGAATGTAACAAATGTAGAAATACACTTCTGGGCAGAAAAGTCACTGAGGTTAGGAGATGTTTGTGTACAGGCTAATAAGTTCTTTCCTAAGAAAGTAAGCTCTTCAGGTCTCCTTTTGCTTTTGATACTCTCCAGTGCATTCTTTTTTTCCCCTTTGTTTCTTTTCTTTTCCCTTAAGTTAACCAGAACTAGTGCTTTCAACCATAGGTTCTAATGAACCTGTCACTAATAATCACTTATATACCTAGATGGAGATTATGACCAATGATTGTGTCCAGGTAAGTCCTTACATTAGTTACTTAATGTCATCGGTTTATGTCCCAATGAAACACAACCCCTGGAGCCCTGTTGGTGTTCCACAGACATCTTAAATTCTACATGTCCAAAACCTAACTCATCCCTCTTCTTCTCTAATCTGCATTTCCACCCATGTCCTCTTTCTTAGTTAATGGGACGGCTGGTTACCCATCTAGTTAGAAATCCTTGCATACTGTTTGATTCATCTCCCTCACTTCCTTCTATACATCCCCAGGATCAATTGCTTTGGTCTCAGAACTGTGGTTAAGGTGTCTCCACTTCCTATTCTGGTTCAGAATCTCATACCTTTCATCTGAGCTTCTGCAACAACCTCCAGCTCTGCGCTGCTCCTGCTAATGAACCACCTGCCAGGCATGGAGTATGTTTCCAATGCCTCTTGTACAAGCCTTCATTCCAAATATTGAAAGCACATCCTTTGGCCTTTAAGTCCTTCTTTTTACTAAAATGAATCCTCTAGCCATTCCTTACAAAAAAAAAAAAAAAAAAAAAAAAAACCCTCAACAACCACTAGTTTACGGTGTTGTAATTACCAAGCTATGAACCCCAGTAATCTTTTCAGGCCACCTCATTCTTTGACAGAAAACCCAGAAATCAGGTTATTTTCCTGGTCTCAAAGAAAAAAAAAGACTATTAAACAAAATGGTCTTCAGAATATAACAACCAAACACTTCTAGTTTCTTTTTAATGTGACAGTATTTTGAAAAAAAAAATTATAAAGGGACTCCAAGATAAAGATTCAGAATTTGGTCCTTGGTATTTTAATGTGCTCAAAAATTTTTCATAGATTGAAATCAATTCATATAAATAATGGACATAAGTAGTCTTGTCCAAAATTGTCCATGGCGAATTATCCCATTCTAGAAATTTCTAATTAGCATAGAGCAGAGCAGGGCTGTAGGCGTCCCTCCAGTGCATTGGTTTAGTGGCCCCGCTCTTGTGTAGGGCTCTGGCTGCAGTGTCCTGCATTTGTGGTCACCTCTTCTCAGTACTGAGCCCTGCTCGTCATCTCTCCTCCCATCACTGGTGACCACCGCCATTGAGCCTTCTGTTCACTCACCAGCTGCTGACCCCTGTGAGACCCAACAAGGACCTCCTCCACCCACAGTTAGCTTGGATTGGATCCAGAGGGATGTGTACTTTAGTACATCCTCAGATAACAAAACTTTGCATCCATTCATTCCCCGAGCCCCGTCTGCTGAGGTGGGACCAAATTATCTAAAGTGGTTTCTTACCCTCCACACACAATTACTTCTCTGCAGATGGCTGCCTCGGTCCAATAGCCGTGCTCGCAATTACCTAACTGAAAGCTCAAACAAACTTCTTGTTGCTGCAAACTTGGCTATTAGAGTTCTAAGATTAGGGGAAAATGTATCTCTTAGATTCTGTCTGATTTAAAAAGAAACCACAGCAGAGCTCAAGTCTCTCTCTCTGTGTTCTTGACATTGTCAATAAGTCTTTTACACCTTTAATTTCCGTTGAATAATTCATATCCCCTGCCTTTTCTACAAACTACAGCAGTTTAGTTCCTATGTTGGCCCTAACGATTATGTGTAAGTCAGCCTTCTAACAAGAAAGAGCAATATTACCTTAGTTCAGTTTGTAGACTCTAAGACTGAGGCACGAGAGCTATTGCTTTGCCAAAGTCATGACAGAACCTAAAAATTCTAAATAGAAAATGCCACTTTATCCCTAGGTATCGAGATTCTCACAGAGGGAAAAATAAAAAAAAAATCAGTCTTAAGCTTCATTTACATTTCAAACAAGGCAGTCTAGGATGTGCCCTATCAACTCACTTTTGGAGGCTACAAGAAAAACAAACGCAAAACCACCATGTCTTCTGAAAACAGTTTAGAGAGTATATCCTCAATTATTTCTTCTTTACAATTGACAGAGGGCATTTTTTTGTTTTCTGTGTTGGTTTGATATAAGTTGTTATTGGTTTTTGGGTTTTCTGTTTGTTTGTTTGTTTGTTTGTTTGTTTATCTAACCAACATTAATGAAACACAAAATATTCACTCAGCTTTCAAAGAGATCATTTCCCCTGAACATTCCTCCAGTCCACAAGAGGAAAAGTGGCTAAAGCAAGGAGTTTTCAGCTATGAATCAGTTAATATTAGTAAGAATTACAAGTATTTGCTTGAGAATAACTCCGACACTTCCGGTTAAACTTAGCACACCTCCAAACAGCGCTTCTCATTGGATGCATCTCATTACTAGACTCTCTGGCTTACGGACACCTTGCTTGTGATTATCTTAAGTAAAGACAAATTGTTCAAGAAAATGCCAGAGGCCTTTGAAAGATAGTAGAGGCTAAAAGGAGATAGAGCTCACTGGTGTGTACACGTCTTGGAAGACCCCAGGGGTCTTCTCTCACGTAATTAGCTACCATGTAAAAAGACAAGAAAGAGTAAGGGAAATCGGGGATAAAGGTGAAAGTAGGAAAGGTAGGGACACTCAGGAGACCAGAAACACTTCTCACAATGCTCCAAAAGAAAGCCACAGCCTTCCAGAAGCAAGGCGTGATGAGCAGAGCTACAACCTAGAAGGAGAATATTCTACAACAACAGGCTTGTCTACACACGAAAGATAAAAATCACGTATGCAGTCTGCTAATGCATGCAGAGAGAAAATGAACAGGATGCAAGCAGCCTAAGATGAAAACGTTGCCCCTGGTTTTCACTCACCCAACACCAGCAGTTCCACAGAGTCCTCATTTTTGCCTTCCAGGTCATCAGGGGTGGTGATGATACAGTAGTAGAGCCCGCTGTCTCCCCACATGAGCTTTCCAATCTGAAGATCTGCATCTGTTATCAGAAAAAGGAAGACCTGCTCCTAAACCTCTGTCCTCTGGAAGGAAGGCATTGAACAATGGGGCCTGGGACAGGACCACCCTTCTGGACATCTATGGAATTTTATTTCTTTGCCCAGATACTGATTGGAAAATGCTAAGTTCATTTCAAACAAAATAATACAAACTAGCATCCTTAAGGCAAGAGAATAATTAGGGTACAGCCACAAATAGATGTAGTTCTAGCAGGAATAGTTGATGCCTTTGAACAGTAGCATCTAAGTACAGGGTAATTTCCCAAATAATTCTGGGTTCCTAGAAATAAATTGATTCCTTCAAATAATTTAGTAATCAAATAGGTCATGAGACTTGTGACTCACATTACAAAAGACATGTGACTTTTCTTATCTAAAGCTTTAGGGAGCTGGAGAAAGGGTGGAAGAGAGGGTGGAATTGATTGGTCCTCCTGGCTCTGTAGCTTCCATGAATCCCTTCTCTAGGAAAAGGGATTTTTAGGAAAGTCCACTTTTCAGGGTCAGTAAAGAGGCAGGAAGGGCAATATTGAGGTACAGAATGTCTGCTTTGAGTTCTTCTGCTAAAACTCATTTCAAACAGTTCTGACAACAATCTCTGAGATTGGAGACCAGGCTCTGAAAGCCTACTCCAGAGCTTATGTCTGTGTTTCCTACGTACTATATTGTCCATACCCCCTCCCTATCATTCAGAGCAAAATGCCAGGGCTCTTGCTTCTCCCGTCTCCCACAAAATCAGTTCCTTGAGTAACTAAACAGATAAGAGACAAACTTTCCCTGTGTCTGGGAAAACCCTGAACCTCCCACACACACACCCTAGATTCAGAACAAAGGCATCATTACCATGAACTATCGTGATCTCTCTGCCCCTGTAGAAATCTCCCAAGGTAACAGTCGAGCCCTGTTTCGAAGCTACCACTCGGACGGTCCTTCTGCTGTCTAAACAATCCAAGTAGGGGTCCCATTCTAGGTTCCTCTTGCTGAGAGCTTGGGCTCTGGGAGAAGACATGCCCAAGGATTCTCCCATGCGATCCTGGCAGTAGGATTTGAACTTCCATTGCACCACCGCAGGCTGGTGGGAGGACGTGGAGAAGTGGCAGCGAAGCACAGTGGGCTGGAAGAGCATGGCCACCTTCTTCTTGTCAGGCACTGTGACCTGAAGGCCTTCAACCATGGCTGCAAAACAGAAGGAACGTGTCTGAGCAGTACCCATACCATGGACCCCACCTCTCACCACACAATAGCATCTTCCCTCCCGACATCCTTGTCCTTGCATTTATTCCGGCCCACAGTTCCAGGTTACAGTCTATCATGATAAGGAAGACAGAGCAGCGGGAGCTTGAGGCAGGGAGTCACACTGAACCCACAGTGAAGGAACAGTTATGAATACATGTGCATAGCTCACGTTCTTCCCTTTAGACAGTCCAGGTTCCTAGCCCATGGAAGAATTCTACCCACCATGAGCAGGTCTTCCCATCTTGACATGATCCACATAAGCCTCACAGGCATGGCCAGAGGCTATAACCCCAGTCATTCTAGACTCACCAAGTTCATATTTGAAACTAACCATCACATATCACATTTGGCAAGAGGTTTTTTTGTTTGTTTGTTTTTGTTTTTTGTTTTTGGTTGTCTCTCATTCCATGTCCCTACCTAGTAACAATCTCGTGAACTTCTTAAAGTAACAGAACAAAAAAAGTCATGAACTGAGACACTTTTCTTTTTCTTTTTTTTTTCAATTTTATGGTGCGCATTGTGCTTTTGTTTTTTATGTTTTATTACCATTTTGTAATTTAAAAAGTAAAAGATACACCTAACATCCAGTCCATCATCTTTGACAATTAAATAGGACACTCTGTCACCTATCCAAACTTAAAAGACTTATTTTTATCCATATGTTATGTCCTGGTTTAGCTTGTATACTATCTGAGAACTATCTTCTCAAATATATTTTCTCAATGGTAAATAGCCTGGGTTGGCTATGAGACTATAAGTAGTCTTTCAACCCCGTGAGAAATCTGAGAACAAGCAATATAATCTGAAATTATAGGAAGCCTAACTCAGCTTCCAGAACTGAGACAAGTTGTAGAGACAGCTGCCTTCCCATACAGCTCCAGTAAGTCGGGAAGTTGGAGCATCAGTCTTCAGAGCCCAGGATCATCTGACAGACGTTTGAAAAACAGGAATTATTAAGGACTAGCTTATTCTGTCTCGACAGAACTAAGCTGTCCTAACCTGTAAGTTCTGTCCTCTCAAGAATGGTACAGGTCTACAAGAGAGATAGACATTTTCTGCCCAGTGGTCACCTAGCCACAATGTACTACCTCACCTGGAGGAAGAGATGCTCAATTTCATCTTTGAATCCACAAAAGGGGACCTCAGCAAGATATTCTAATAGTTCATCATCTAGCTTCTTGCCCTCAGCTTCACCCCTTTGAAGTGACTCCATTTGAGCACCAAGCTCAACAAATACCAAATAACTTAAGAGTTTCTCCGAGTGACCCCTGTTATTCCACATTTCTAGGTTATTACACACTGACCCCCTTTTTTTTTTTTTTTTTTGGAATGCTTTGCTTCACTTCCCTGGGAAAACTTTCAAAACCCAATTCTAAGGCCTTCTTTGACCAGGGTGTCCCTTCTTTCTTTGTGTTAGCAACATACTTAGCATTCTCCTGCAAACAGTTATTGTGACAATTCTGTGAGTATTTCTTTTCATGCCACTTCAGGAAATGATAATATATTGTCTGGATTATGAAGTCCATGGGTATGAACAAATACTTGATAGAAAAACGATGAAATCAGGAAGAATAACTTCAAGACAAATTGGCTTCCCTTCCAGATGATGACCAAGCAAAGGGGAGGAAATAATGGAGCAAAGAAGCCTCTTTATGAAAGAGAGACCTCAGCTCCAAAGCAGTAGACTAGGTTGAACAGCTTTTAAGAGTAACTGGAAGAAGAAAAGAAATTAAAAACCAAATGAGAAGAGAAGCCAGTTGAGATCTGGTGATCAGGGAGAACAGGGGGGTTTCAATGAGTGAGATACTAAGGGGAGTCTGAGAGACAAAGGTCCATGAGATCTCATCAGTTAGAGTCCAGAAGTTCTAAGCAATGAAAACACAATTTCCTACATAAATGGGAGAGTCTAGAGTTTCTTACCTAGAGATGTCTGTGAGATGCAAAAGCAGAATTGTGATGAGAGGCAGAGAAAGGAACAAGAAGATAGATTGGAGAGCTTCCGAGCTGATTCCAAGAATCACCAGGTTGGCTTCAGGTAGCTTGGAGCAGAAGGCTTTGGGCTTGTTTTGGTTTATTTTGGTTTGGTTTGGTTTGGTTTGGTTTGGTTTGTGTTTTGTTTTTTGAGGAAGGGTTTCTCTGTGTAACCCTGGCTGTCCTGGAACTCACTCTGTAGACTAGGCTGGCTTCAAACTCAGAGATCCACCTGCCTCTGGCTCCCGGGTGCTGGAATTAAAAGCATGCTCCTCCTCACCCAGCATGGGGCAGAAGGTTTTGCTTTCAAAAGGCAGCATAGACTTGAGACAGGTGAGAAAGGGTGCCAAGAGCTCAAACATGTTCTCATAGAAACGTGCCTCTTTATTGAAGCAACCTTGACAAGGACAAGGTGTACACATCTCCTGATTCCAGAGCAGCATCCCTCCTCCGTGAAAGGCACAGTCAGAAACACAGGTCCTCCTTCTTGTTGTGAGAAAATGATTCGTGCATTCCATGGAACTTGGTAGTGAACACAGAGAGTGTTTTGGACCAGCCAAGTGCTTGGAGGCTGCCCATGAATAACTAAGGGGATGGATGAGCAAATATAGGACTATTAGTATGAGAGATTCAAGAGCTGTGCAGAGGAAAGTAGTAGGTGAGTCATAGATTGCATAGTAGATTAAAATAGTATTGGCACAGAACAGGAAGGGCTTGGAATATCATCTGGCAACGCATACTAGTGGCAAGGCCTTAAAGTCTGTGTAGCAATCTGAGATCCATGTTCCTCACCTACCCAGTACGTATCAATGCTCTTCCCCCCCAGGAACACAACATGAACACACTACCCCACCACCATTTTCACCTTTGTCCTCACATCTCCTTCTGAAGCTACTACATCGCAGCGACCATCTCCTACCACCAGGCTTGATAATAACCATATTCTGTAGCTCAGCCCCATCAAGGGGCAAATGAGTCTGTCGGGAAACTCAGCTGCAGTCTCCCACCCCAAATGTTGATGTCGCTAATTCCATTCTCCGTGACTCACACACCTGCAATAGAAACGTACACGACTTTACAGTTACTCCTTAAATGTTACAGAACCAATTTTCAGCCCTGTAATTCTTCAAATCTTTACTCATATCCCAGTCTTCCAGGTGACGTAAGTGAACAGGGAGGTGAAATGCTTTCAATTAATAACGACTGTGTTTGGGTAATGAAGCATGGGCATTATTCCCAGGACATATCGTGCACCTGACCATGCCAGTTCTCTCTGCCCTGTGCCCTGCTGAGGCTCTACTTGGGAAAATCTCAGTTCCTACCCTCTCTGGGGTAAATAAAATCATCAAGGGGAAAGAGTGCTACATAAAAGCGTTCTTGAGGTTTCAAACTTTATTTACTCTTTTTTCTTTAAAGAGAGAGTCAAATTTGAGTTTTTGTTCATCAGATAATTGCTGAGTATAACCTCGTCATCAGCTTTGTTCTGTTAATGAGATTAGCCACCTTAGGAAGGCAAGCCATTGAAGTCTCTTAGTCAATTATTAATAGAGGCTAGTCAGTTCTCAGCGTCTTCCATGATAGACACATAAACTCATGCTCCAAAGAATAAGAAATACATTTTCTGAAACGTTTGCCCTTTTTACAGCATGGTGGTTAAAGGCGTGAATTTGGAAATCTGTCCTAAATTAGAATCCAGCTACACGGCCGTAGGCAAGTTACTCAACTCTGTGAACTTCAGATTTCTCCTGAGTAAAACCATAATAATAGTAACAGTCTTACGGGGTTGTTTAAAGGATAGATGGCATTTTATCCTAAATACTTATGGCAACAGCTGATATATATTAAGCACTGAAGATATGAAACCGCTGTTTGTATTGCTGTGACTATCAAGAAGTATCTTGTGAAGCTGTGGTCCCCAAGCGAGGCAAGGGCAGAGAGTCAGGCATGAGATGCTAGCTGTGAAAAGGGAAGAACAGAGAGAAAATGCACAAGAACGCTGGAATATGTCAGGAGTTCCACAGTGACGGTGTCTCACTATGCTTACCAATTCACTAGAAGTCAGAATGGAGAGTGGTGTGTGTGTATGTATGCATGCGCACTGCGTGTATGCATGCCCACTGTAGGGGCACAGATGCAGGTGCAATGGGACCCTGTACTGAGGACAGAGCAGGGTTGGTTGAGAAGACATGGTCAGGAGTTTTGACTGTCCATTTATCAGACGTTTGAGGACCACGACTGCTAAGATTTAACACTAAAATGATAATCCCTGTTTCCACTTTGTCGGATTCCGATGGTAAGTAGCATTCAATTTCCAAGGCTGCTCTGGCCCCTTTCATCAGAACCCATCCTCACAAGTTGAGGGTCTAGAACTGCTCGTCTAACCTTATATCTAGGATGAGAGACTGGATTTCTTGTGCCCACTTGACAGCATCTCTTGTTCTTTTCCTGTGTTTGCCTCACACAGAAACTGTTCCCAATTTGGGATGCTAATTTGCAGCCTGGTCACCCTGCCCAGAACTTCAACTGGCTTTTCCCAGTCCCCAGCGGCAGATCCTTCTCCTAAAGGGAAGCATGTTTCCTGTATCTCCTCATGCATAGTTGAGTCACATCAGAAACCATGATGGTACATCCACCTTCCATGCCCTCCCTTCCATGCCAATATTGAAATTATAAGTGGGAATAAATTTTTCCTTCCTCCATTAAAGTTGCTTTTGTTTGGTACTGTGGTCACCATGAGGCTAAAGTAATGAATACCTCAGGCCAGTGCTTCAGCTGTGGTGATCTGCTCACTGCCTTTGACTCCTAACTTGAATTTTCTCTGTCCCCACTATAACCAGGTTTCTAGTTCATCCTTCCTGATGATAGTTGTATGACATGTGATAAGCCTCTCTCCTATGGCATTTTAATGAATTCTTTAAAAACCTATAAACTAGGGGTTATAATCACACTTATTTTACATATGGAAAACT